GTCTGGCTGTCGGTTCCTAGGTGCTGAGCTGCTTGACCCTCATACATCGAATACGACGGGAGAGTCTACCCCCAAATTCTCAAGAACAAAAAAATGTATAAATTTAATTTCTTCATATGTTTAAAAAGAAACAGAATTTAAACTGTTTATTCACGGACTATTTTCTAATTTGTTATTATTATCACGTTTCGACTGTTATGCCCTCCGTCCTACATCAGGTTTATATCATTTCGTGTAACCTACAGAAAATTCTGAACTGAACTCTTTATTTAATATACGGGGGTTCAACTGTTCTCGTTCCACTGCCCATGTTTAGGGATATTTCCTAGTGTGGGTTCATGAATTTATTATATAATAATTATGAGTTCCATCCCTAGGCCGGGCAGTGTGTATTTGGACTTAGGGGAAAGAGGCCGAGCAATAACTAAACAGTATTAAAAATAAGAACTAGACGAGATATCACCAGACATGAGCAGTGGAACGAGAACAGTCTACTCCCGTAAATTGAATAAAGTGTTCATTTCGGAATTCCCTATAGGTTAACTGGGTCACTATAAACCTGATGAGTGTAAATAGCCCGAATGTAAAAAGTGTAAATAATAGCTGATAATCCCAGAAATTCAGACAGAAAAAAAAAAAAACAACAGAAAATAACCATTCTTCTGAGGCTTGTTCTTTTTCGTTAATCGTGGTTTTTTATCATGTTAATAAATCATAAAAATTACGAGAATTTAGATGGAAATTAATTTTTAATTGATAATATTTCATAAAAAGAGTAATTTAAACAATGATACGAGACGGCTGCTTAACGTTCCGAGGCAAGAACGAGGCGACCTTGAAAAAATCCGCTATTTGTAAGAGATTTTCAGCACGTTCTCATATACTTCTTTTCTTTCAATGGTATCCCTCTGTCTTTTCTACAGATATTTTCATGGCAACTGCTCTCACGATTGTGTCCCAACCCAAGCTTCATCAGGCGCTTGTCTTTTCCATTTTCTATCCTAGGATTAAAACGTCATTCTTTATTCCAAAGTACAGGAATATAAAAACATGGATCTTGTAAACTAGAAGGTTACGGAATAGAATAATCACACGAAGGTTGGTAATGGACGATAATACTTAGGACAAGAACAACACATATAAGATTCACCAGCGGCGCGTAGAAAAAAGTAGTCAACTGCTAGGAGTGAGTCAAGTGAATTCCACAATGAATCTCCAACTGCAAGATATCTACCAACCACCCCATGCGGTCATATGTGGCACAAGGTCGAATTTAATGTGGGGTACCCGAGCCCGCAGGCTCGACCAAAAATTCCCCGTATACCCTGTGTAAAACGGGGTCGGGTAGCTGTTTCCCGAGACGAGACTTTGCCTTTCGGCATAGCTTCGTATGGCGACCCTCTCTGCCCGGAGACAGAGAGTTTGAACACCACAACTGATTTTCAGATGCAGGATATCTACCAGCCACCTCACGCGTTCAGATGTGACACAAGGCCGAATTTAATGTGGAGTATCCGAACCCGTAGGCTCGGAAAGAATTCCCCGTAAAACCCGTATGAAACGGAGTTGGGTAGCTGTTTCCTGAGACGAGACTCTGCCCTTCGACATAGGCACGTCTAGGGATCTTCTCTGCCCGGAGGCAGAGTTTAACAAGCACAGCTGGAGACAAACTTCAGACTAACATGCATTATTTACTACTCTATTTATGTGAATGGGACATATCCATTATCGTCTGTAGATATGCTACAACAATGGACGAATTATAGACTTATAGATATGCAAGATAGATTCCATAGAGAAAAATTGTCTCTCCCGATAGAGTGAACCGATTTTCTTAGCAGCTGATCTACCAATGGATTCAATATCGTCTTTCCACCTCGAGTCAGCTGAAAACGGTATGAGGACTATTTTCTTCATCTTTATTGTTACTTTCACAACGTTTCGATCATTGTGCGAACACGACCTTCATCAGGTGCATGTGTTTTGCATTTTATTTCGTAAACATTCATCAGGTTTATCCCGAAATGAACATTTTATCGAAAACGTCATTCTATATTCCAAAGTGCGAAATTGTTACTGCCTTTTGGCGCAAACAGCAATTGACTGCTTTAAAGTGATACAATGAAATAATGCCCTTTTATTTGTTTTGTTTTTCATCTCTCTCTCTCTCTCTCTCTCTCTCTCTCTCTCTCTCTCTCTCTCTCGTTCGCTCGCTCTATCTATCTATCTATCTATCTATCTATCTATCTATCTATCTATCTATCTTTTGATGTCTGGAAATGTGCCGGTAAATATGCCGTCGAGCAACAACTGTCCTCATTTTGCAGATGCGATGCAGTCGGTGCTCACAGGCCAGGGGTAGAAATTTCTTCCAAAGGCGGCCGATTCTTTAGACTTGTCACCTTCAATCTATCACTTCTTACGCACCATGTAACAAAGTTTTTTTTTTTTTTTTTTTTTTGCCTACATTAGCAATTTGATGATACAGAAAATATGTTCCTCGTTATGTCTGGCACAAGGCAACAAAGCTTTCTGATCAGAATAGTAATCGTTCTTTTATGATGGAATACATAATTTAACTAATACGTGTCCTAAAGCGAGAAAAATTATGTTTATGAGAAAAATTATACTTATGATAAAACATTTCAGGAAAAATATTGTATGAGTAATGATGACGCTATATGAATAAAATATTAAAGAAAGGAAGCTGTGGAGAGTACTAATCGACCACGCCTTTGAACAACATGGAATATAAAACATGAAATATGGAATATCTAAGAAGATCTACGTTAAATTAATAAATTATCCCTGGTTCTATTTGATTGTTCCTTTTTCTCTCTCTCTCTCTCTCTCTCTCTCTTACACAGTGTCTGTCTTTCTGTCTCTTTTTATATATGTTCTACTTTGTCTAGTGCTAAACCTTTCATTCTCTCCCGTTTCCTCTCTTTCTCTCTCTCTCTCTCTCTCTTACACAGTGTCTGCCTTTCTGTCTCTTTTTATATATGTTCTACTTTGTCTAGTGCTAAACCTTTCATTCTCTCCCGTTTCCTCTCTCTCTCTCTCTCTCTCTCTCTCTCTCTCTTATTATACACGCATTTTCTCTTTCTCTCGTTGTCTTGTTCTCTCTTTCTCGCTCGCTGTCTCTCTCCTCTTTCTCTCTATGACTATCATCACTCGTTTTTCTTCCCAGTGTTTATTTCTCAACCCTTCTCTCTGTATATGTGTGTGTTTATGTATGTGTGTGCGTGTGTGTGCCTGTCTGTCTGTCTGTCTGTCTGTCTCTCTTTATTTCTTTTCTCGCCCCGTCGTCGTCTCCTATTATCACAATGTGTCTATATCTGGGCTTGTCTTTCTTTCTGCCTCTCTTTCACCTCCACGTTCTTCTCTTCTTATATCTCCCTCTCTATCTCTATCATAGAGCTTTAATTTCTCTCTCTCGCTCTCTTTCTCTCTCTCACTAATTCTCGTCTTCTTTCTTTGTCTTTCTTTATTGTTTCTTTCTTTCTTTCTTTCTTTCTTTTCCAAGCCGTTCTTAAGTTGTAAGTTTGACTCTCTCCACTCTATCGCACTCCCTCCATTACTCCCACCTCTCTCTCTCTCTCTCTCTTGCTTTTCTTTCTTTCTTTCTTTCTTTCTTTCTTTCTTTCTTTCTTTTCCAAGCCTCCCTTCAGTTGTAGGTGTGACTCTCTCTTCTCTATCGCACTCCCTCTATTACTTCCCACCTCTCTCTCTCTCTCTCTTGCTTTTCTTTCTTTCTTTCTTTCTTTCTTTCTTTCTTTCTTTCTTTCTTTCTTTCTTTTCCAAGCGTTTCTTCAGTTGCAGGTGTGACTCTCGCCTATCTATCGCACTCCCTCCATTACTCCCCCCTCTCTCTCTCTCTTGCTTTTCTCTCTTTCTTTTCCAAGCCTCTCTTCAGTTGTAGGTGTGACTTTGTCCTCTCTCTCTTTTCTTTCATTCTTTCTTTCTTTCTTTCTTTCTTTCTTTCTTTCTTTCTTTCTTTCTTTCTTTTCCTAGCCTTTCTTTAGTTGTAAGTGTGACTCTCTCCTATGTTAGTTAACGCAAAAGGTCAAAGCTGATTTCCGAGAAGAGAAAGGGGGCAGATATAAATGTAGAAATAAAGGAAGCGAGATTGTGCGGGGTCTTGTTGGGGTGAGTTAGGGAAAATAAAATGTTGCCTCAAGGGTAATGGATTTGGGTAAGGGCCATGGTGGCGACGGGGAGCCACATTTAGTGTCATGTAAGTAAACATGTCAAATTGTAGATAATAAGGTACTTATTGATAGCAATAGCAAAAAGTGTAGGGATCACGAAGCGCGCTTACATGTGTGTGTGTGTGTGTGTGTGTGTGTGTGTGTGTGTGTGTGGAAAACGGTAATCTTAGCTGTTTCCTTATTAGGAAACATTCGGCATTCATTGCCCGAGCAACCAGTGCTACTCTCGTTTGAAATTTATAAAATCCTTCTCTTAAAACAATTTTTCAAGAAGATCAGTTTCTCAGGCACAATAACTATAGCTGCTATCTCCGGTATTGTTGGCGGTGGGGAGGGGATTCATTAAATAAAAAATAAAGGCGATAATGCCACTAAGACGCAAGGAGGGCTACTCTGAATGAAAGAGAATAAAAAGCCTTAAAAAAAAACGGAAACCCAGTGCTAAACAGGGAAAAAGTGATAAATCTCTAATCCTGTTCAAAAGACCGGGTAGGAGTGTGAACAGGGCGATAGGTGAATATATCTACTCCCACTGAAGAGAAAAAATAATTAGTAAATAAAATTTCATAGTTCAATTGGAGACTTTCGAAATATAGAGTTGAAGTACATTTAAAGTAAGGAGTCGGAAAACAATTCCTAAACAGGGAAAAAGAGATAACCTCTAATTCTGTTCAAAAGACCGGGGAGGAGTGTGAACAGGGCGATAGATGAACCTATGTACTCCAATTGAAGAAAAAAGCTTAACTAGGAAATAAAATTTCAGAGTTTAGACTACGCTATATTATACTTACGACCATCTACCGTTGAAACACTGGTTTTCGTACGATCACCGAAGTTAAGCAACGTCATACCTAGTTACTACCTAGATGGGTGACGGCTAGGTAAAACCAGGTGTTGTTTTGTTCATAAAATAAGTGCTCTGTTTTGTTTAGTAATGTTTTTTTTTTTATATTCATTGCGTTTGTTTAAAAGAAGTACAAATAATTTATCTTTAAAAAATGAACGAGGTACGCTTCAGGCTGAAACAACGGCACCGGTACGACCACCGAAGTTAAGTAATATCGATCCTGGTCATGGGTGACTTCTTGGCAATACCAAGTGCTGTATGCCTGGAAGTGCGGTTGGTTTAATAGTTAATCACTAGGAGTTGTTAGTCGGAGAGCCGAGTTCCAATTCCAGTTGGGTTCGTTATATTCACTTACGCGCAAATACCCTTGGGAAAGGCATGAATCCACATCTTCTACTCCTAGGTATGGGTTAATTAGTAAAAACATGTATCACTAAATCATTATTAAGTTTAAAAAAATCTACACTCAAAAATATTTTCTGGCTTTAAGTAACCTGAAGAGGGTTGGTAAGCCACAGAAAACGAATCAAACAAACGTATCAAAATTTTCTTTGCATCAAAACAACACACTCTTACTAACCATACTGTTGTAGCATACTTATGGATGATAACGGGTATGTCCCCATTCACATAAATACAGTAGTAAATACTGTATGTTGGTCTGCAATTGGAGATTCGTCTCCAGCTTTGCTGCTCAAACTCTCTGCCTCCGGGCAGAGGGTCATCCCCCGACTCCGTTTTATACAGAAGCCGAGACGGCTATGTCGACTGCGTAGGGCGGTTGGTAGAAACCCTGGAATTGGAGTCTCGTCTCCAGGTGCTGCTCAAACTCTCTGCTTCCGAACAGAAAGCATCCCCAGACGAGGCTATGTCGAAGGTCAGAGTCTCGTCTCAGGAAACAGCTACCCGACTCCGTTTTATACAGAGTCTACGGTGAATTTTTGGCCGAGCCTACGGGCTCAGATACCCCACATTAAATTCGGCCTTGTGCCACATATGACCGCGTAGGGCGGTTGTTAGAAATCCGGGAATTGGAGATTTGTCTCCAGCTGTGTTGGTCAAAGTCTCTGCCTCCGGGCAGAGAGGATCCCTAGACGAGTCTATGTCGGAGGGTAAAGTCTCGTCTCGGGGAAACAGCTACCCGACCCCGTTTCATAAAGGGTCTGTGGGCAATTTTGGGCCGACTATACAGGCTCGGATGCCCCACTTTAAATTCGGCTTTGTGCTACATCTGACCGCGTGGTTTGGTTGTTAGATATTCTGCAGTTAGAGATTCATTGTGGAATTCACATGACTCACTTCTAGCAGTTGACTAATTCTTCTACGCGCCGCTGGCGAATCTTATACCTGTTGTACGTGTCCTAAGTATTATCGTTCATTATCAACCTTCGTGTGACTTTTGTATTCAGTAACCTTCCCTAGGTTACAACCCATACAATGATAACAATAGCTTCACTCTCAATAATGCCGAATATGTTGCCATTTGTCATTAAGAATCGCCTATTATACTGACTGAGATCTGCAGAAATTTGATAACATCTTATCGTAAATGACTGAAAACTGAAATTGCTTGTAAACCAAATATTGAATCATTTGCGTGAATGCATCGGATATTTTTGCTGTAATTATTTGTAAGTTTGACATTTACTTTTCATTGGTACGTTGTGTATGATTTTTTTTTTTATTTTCGTTTAAGAATTAGCTGCCTGTTTGTTCCAAATTTCATTAATTTTTAAGCTTTGCAACTTTTTCTAAAACAGTATCTGGTATCTTTGAACTGTATTTGTTTACTGAAACAATCTTTCATCTCCCTGCTGACATAATGACGCATTAGTAATAATAAATCAATCATATTTATACTGACTGCGTCTGCATTTCAGCTTGGCTACTTTTCCCCCAACGGAATTCCTATATATAAAGCTCAAAGGTTGCATGTCTGTTCAAACCACAAGAAATAATTAAATACAAATTTACATAACAAGATGACATCAAAATAAAAGCGGGTTTTAATTTATATCTACCAGTATGTGTTCTATATCTTGCTCAACTAAGCGTTTAATGGAAGTATTTAATTTACATATTTAACTTTAAAAATCAGAATTTTACAAATAGATGTATTTAGCAATAATATTTATAATCTGATGTTTTAACTTCTATATGAATAAATGCGAATGTCAGTTTGTCAGTGTACCTCACTTTACTCCTAGAGGCCGTAGCCCAACATATCATAATCAAGCCGACCACGTCAGTAAATTAAAAACATTCCAGGTCGAATCCAGAGTCACCATACTGAAATTCTGTGATTGTTTTCAGCCATTTTTTTTTACGTGATGTATTGCGACGACATTTTTGTACGTTAACAAATTTTTATAACTTGGAAATAAATTTGGGAATAATCGAATTTAATTACGAAATCCAACGAAAGCCACTCATGAAATGAAAATAATTATTTGTACGGAAAGTAAGGACCTACGTACATCAAACTGTCTTTAAATTAAACGGCGGCGGAAAAATTATTGTTGAACTTTTAAAAGGTTAGCTTAAATATTAATGCAGTACTTAAATGCAGCAATCAATTTTGAGGTTTTCTGTAGTTTATTGCATACAGCAGCAGTATAGCGATTTTCCAAGCGTAGCTCGGATGTGGCACAAGGCCGTAAGTATGGGGTACCCAGTGAGGATCGAACTCACTACTCAGTCGTAATTGTTCTAGCGAGACAAGCTTGCTAACCATTACACCATCTCGTATGCCTCGCAAAAAGAAATCTGCACTAACAGAGGACCAGATTGCAATCAAAAGCGCCAATGTTGCAGTGACAAAAAGAAAATCCCGGAAAAATGAAAACCCAGATCAAATAGAAGCCAGGAACTTCTATTGCTGAGAATAGGCAAAGACTTGAGGAATTTTAAACACCTGAATAGGCTGAAAGCCCAATCAAGAGCCCTTCGCAGTAATTAGCTTAATTACCGTCTGATAGGGCGGCTTTTAAACTAGTTATAAATAAGCGATTTTTGATGAATGTTGATCATTAAATTGTTTAGACATGGAAATAAAGTGTTTTTTTTTTTCTGCCCTGAAAGTGGTAAATTCCTTAGTATTTTCGATCATATCTTGGGAATAAATGAAAAGGTTGTTGAAATTTTCAATAGTATATTTTGAAAATGTAAAAAGAAAAGTCAGTTTTCTTTTTGAAATCTATTATGTTTTGATCATAAAACAATCGTAAAATAGGTGCTCTGTTTTATTTAACAATGTTTCATTGCGATTATTTAATCGAAGTGTAAATAATTTTTCGTTTAAAAAAAAAGAACGAGGTTCGCTTCTATTGCTACTTCAGGCTTAAGGACACATCATGCTGAAACACCGATTCCTGTACGATAATCGACGTTGGGAATGTTATGAATCCGTCTCTTGTCCCCCAGCTATGGGTTAATTAGTCAGACTTGTATCCCTAAAGCATTGTTATCTTAAAATATTTTTTCTCTTACTTTATACTCTCTGGAACCCCTTGTATACTAGTGGCACTCCCACCTTGCTTGGGGTGAATTGCTAAAAAAAAAGGAGTTTTATTTTTAAACAAAGAACTGCGTCGCGTCTTATTGCGATGAATCTGTTAACGCCTGTTACTTATGTCGATAATGTGTATTCTCGTTTTGAGAATCAGCAATGTTGAGGAATTCTTTTGGCCCGTTTAGCGAAAAAAAAGCCGCAGACATCGGATTCCCACCCTTAATTTACGCGTGTCCTTCGCTTTCCTCCAACTAGATTTTATTTGAACGCTAGAAGTAATTTACAGTAAATAACAAGTTAATCTTTTTCACATCAGCGACAATAAATGCCGGACGAGAGACTACAACGAAGCGGATGTCTGTAGTTCATTACTCTTCTCGTTGCCTTTTCGTGCTAAAGTTTTCGTGCTGAAATGAAGTGGAAAGATTAAATTGAATCTATTGCTAGCTCTACTGCTGGGAAATTTGCTTCACTGGTCGTGCTAGATGATTTTTGTCCCTAGAATCTATCTTGCATATTTATAAGACTACCATTCGTCCATGCTTCGAATATTGTCGCAACATAAGGCCTGGTGCTTCTGCTATATACCTAGAGCTTCTTGATAAAATCCAAAGAAGTGTCAGCAATATCTGGCGTCTCTGTTTCACGTCTCCCTTCAGTCACCTTCCCACCGCCGTAATGTTTCCTCCTTGTGTCTATTTTATAAATGCGTTCAAGGTAAGTGTTCGGATGAAGTCTTCCTTATGGTTTAGTTTGGTTTGGTTTGTTTTATGGCATATCAACACCTCAATGGGTCATTTAATGCCGACAACTTTTTTTTCATGGTAATATTTTTGTTTTGTCAAAAATCTATTTCTGTTAATATTTTTTCCTCAAAAGTGTATAGCTGGTAAAATTATTTTTTCAAAACGTATATCTGATAATATTATTTTTTTCAAAAACGTATAGCTGGTAAAATTATTTTCTCAAAAATATATAGCTGGTAATATTATTTTTTCAAAAACGTATAACTGATAATATTATATTTTAAAAAACGTATACCCGGCAACACTATTCTTTCAAAAAATAAATAAATAAAAAACGTAGAGCTGGTAATATTATTTTTTCAAAAACGTATTATCAGAGACCTTGCTGTTCGACGTAGTTTATCGTCTTACCCAGGACGCGGATGTAGTTTATCGTCTTACCCAGGACGCGAATGTAGATTATTGTCATACCCAGGACGCGTCTCTGTTATGTTATCTAGACTTTATGAATTTAAGCGCCGTACTGGATTGGCAACAAAGACTCATCAGTTGATTTACCTAGATGCAAACCTATGTACTAGACTAACAGTTCATTTTCGCGCACCACCCGTTTGTGGAACTCCTTTCCGATTCCGCGCTTTTCAGTCAGTTTTAATCTTCAAAAATTTAAATCCAATGTTAATCGCTATCTTCTGTCCTTCTGATCATTCTTCTTTTATTTTCGCTTCTTAATTAATCTTTCTCTTTTCTCATTCTTCCACATCCAGCAATCCTTGTATCTTACTGGCTTGCCTT